TTTTCAGACCTCATGGCCTCCCTGTACCCCTGGGGTGGCTGTGCCAGAGGTTCAAGGCCTGTAAGCACCTCTGTCCCCACCCTGTATCCCTACCCCCACCCCCAGGAGCCAGAATTTTGGGGATGGGGGACGTGCAGTTCTAGGTGGTGAAATACGGTAACTGGGTCCCTAGTTCAGACATTTAAATTAAATTCAATCAGAGCAGTTATTGAATATAAACATGTGGAGTCATTTACATGTTAATTATGTTGAATGGACTACTAGGCCATAATTAGTTGCTAATTGGGTGAGAGCGGCTGTAATTGGTTTTGTTGGCACTGACCTGGCTCACCTGCCTAGGGGGGCAGGGGCAGGGTGCATAGCTTCTAGGGAGGTCGCTGGGTCTCTAGTCTGGCAAGCATGGTGATAGTGGCAGCAGAGGTGGGGGTACAGGGCTGGGGAGTGATTGAATGGTTTTTGGGAAGGCCTGAAGCACCCGAGCAAAGTCCCAGCAAGGGCACTGTATAAGCCCACGGTAAAACCTGGGTTGAGCTTCTTGGGGCTCCCATCCAGAGCCCCCAGGAGAGGAGGGACTGGACCAGCAGCAAGAGCCTCCCCTGTGAGTGTGGGTGCAAGGCAAGTGCCACCTGGGATAGCCTGGCCACTGGTGAAGATCTTAGCCTTGGGGTGATAGTCACCATGTGCTGAGCAAAGACAGGGTACATACAAGGGCTTCTGGGCCACCCTGCCCCCAGCTCTGCCTAGCTGGGGCTCCCAGGGTGGCAGGGCTATGGCCAGGGGCTGAGACCTTCCGGCTGGCCGCTCATTAAAAGAGGATTAGGCCAGGAGCCAGGGGGCCAGTCCAGCCCCCTGGGCCTTTCTCTGGGGCCCCTCACAGCTTTGAGGGGGAGTGAGAGAGAGGCGAGGGGTCGCTACTCTCTCGAGGCCCTGGCAGTGGCCAGTAGAGACTGCCTGGGCCCTGGCACTCCTGTTGTGTCACTGCTGTCCCAATCTTGGCTCTCTCAGGATCCCCCTCCTCCATCTTGGGTGGGTCATCCTTTCCGTGGATGAAGTCTAAGTGAAAACCCAGGATACAACCCCCCACACACATACACACTCACACCCAACCCTGTTTCTCTTCAGCTCAGGGATTAGGGTTGCACTAGCCCACGCAAGGTTAGAGGTCAGAGTTAGGCGGTGAGGACCTGTCCATCATCTCTAGCACCCAGCCCTTAGGGGGAGGTGCCACTGTCAGTCAGAGCCTGCTGCTTTGTGGAGTTATAACCAAAGGGGCGGGGTGCTCACCTCCACCCCAAGACCCCTCTTTTTGCTGTAGTCCCCGCCTTGCTAGTGACCGACCTGGTGTCCTAGAGACAGGCAGCAGGGGGTGAGGCCCACTGCCGGGGTCCGGAGCAGGGGGCTGTGGACACGCCTCCACGGGGCCTGCCCTTGCCTGCTGCCTTCTTTCAAGTAGGCATCACCACCTGCTTCCCAGAGATGAGGGAACACACCCCCACCCTGGGATGAAGCCCCCTGGACCTGGGCCAAGCCCTGCTGGACTTGAGCATCCATGGAGCGAGGCCTAAAGGCTGGGAACAACTACGGAAATGAGGTGTTCGATGCCAGAAAAGGCCCTTCCTTCCGAGTGCCGGGAAAATGCTTCCCGGATGTCGTCCCACCCAAGCTATGCCCAGTCTGGGGAAAATGTGGGGGATGGGTAGCCCTCCCCGGGGGGGGGGGCATGGCCAGGCACATCCCCCTCCTGTCCCCTGCAGGTCATAATTTGAGTCCCCTCCGCCATGGCAAAGGGAGAGGGCTAATGCCCTAGCTGTCAGGCCTGGCTGGACCTGGGCCAAGCTGGGTAGAAGTGGGCACTGGTCTGAGGTCATGACCCAGTTGGGTCCACATTGGCCTTTCCCTCCCTCACTATGATGCCACCTCTGGCCCTTTTGGCCTAAGTCCTTGTCCCTTAGGGGCCCAGTAGGATGTGGCCTCCGATGGCACTACAGGTGTCACAGAGGAGACTCAGGATTCCCTAAGCAGCTCTGCTCTGGTCAGGGCTTTCTGTGAGGGCTCCCTGTGCCTTCGTCTCTGGGTGGGTCAGGGGGTGGGGAGCAGTGAGTACCACACCCTCTGCCACACACAGCCTTCCTACCCAGAGCAGACCCCTCATCTCCCTTCTCCCCCATCTCTCTGCCTGGCAGGTGAAGTTAACCCCCCAGCATAGGCTGACAAGGATAGAGCCCTGATTTGCTAGACAACCCTGGAAAAGTGCCTTTTCCCTCCGCCTTAGTGGCTCTTCTGTGGGGGCAGTGTGAGTGACTGGTTTGGGCTTTTAGCTCTGCTTCTCCGGATTGGGGGTGGGGTAGGGACACACCGACGCGAGATGGGGGCTGAGTCAACAGGAAGCCCCTTCCTGCCCCAGAGCCTCCTCTGCTTCCCTCCCCAGGCCTGGGAAATGGGGTAGTAGGGGTGGGAATGGGTGGAGCATGGACAGTTTCCAAGTGATAGTACATCTGTAAGCAAAGAGCAGGGGACTCCAGCCCACTCTCTCTGCTCCCCCGAAAGCAGAGATGCCCATGAAGGGAATACCCGGCTCTCTGCCTCTCTCTCTGGGACCAGAGTAGGGACCAACTTCCCCTCCCACCAGAGTCACCTGTACCGCAGGGGCCCCAAGTCAGTCTAGAAATGGGGCTCAGAGACAGTGGACCCAAGCTATGGCAACACATTCCCTTCCCCCAGCCAGCTTCCACTGTGACTGACGCGTCATGTCCTGTGACACCAACACCATTGACGCCATATCCCGCAGCCTCTGGGAGAGGGCCAGTGGTCCTGAGTCATGTGTCCCGTGGAGGGAGGACAAGTCACCTTCCGGCCTGGGCTCCTGTCAGGCATCCCCACCTCCAGGACTGACTTCCACTTCAATTCTGGACTTGGGAAGGCCCCAACAGGGACACTAACGGGTCACTTCCGTGTCACTTCCCTCCCCCTTCACTCATGTTCTAGTTGGGTGCTGTGAGCACAAGGCTTTGCATACAATAGGAGCATAATGGCTAAGAGAGGCTGCCTCTGCTCCCAGCTGCACCCAGCACCATGCTGTGGGTATGGGAAGGGGTTGCTTAGGGCTGAGAGGAAGCAAGGCTGATGCAAGGCTGGGCTTCTGACCCTACTTGGGCCTGTTCTCTGTACCTGCTGAGTGATTTTGGCCCTGACTGTCACAGGGATGAGCTTGGGGAGCTGGAAGGAACTGGGCACCCTGGGAGGCCATGGCACAGTGGAGGGGCAGTGTATGGATCATAGAGGCACAGGGCTTGGTGGGAGTGTGGGGAAAGGGGGCTGTGGCTGATAAAGTTGCTAGGGATGAGATGTGACCTCAAGTGCCTGTTTCAGAGGGTGCTCCCTGAAGCCTCCATGTCCTCTTTTGCATTGTCCTCAAAGTGCCCCTAGCCCATGGGGATGAGTAAGGGCAGAGGCAAGGCCATGCCCCCAGCCAGGGTATAAATAACCCCTGGCGGGCTGTCCCAGCCTGGGGGGGCTCTGCTGGCAGCCCCACTTCCTCTCTGGCCACTTCCCAGTCCTGGGGGTGGGGGAGTGTTTACTTTCCTGTTGTCACTGTGGCTGGGTGGCCAGGCAGGGGACTCCGGGTGGCCTGACAACAGGTGCAGGGCAGGTGCCCAGGCTGCCCTGCCCAGGACTTCAAAGGCGCCGCCGGACAGGCGGGTGAGGCCACAGCCAGGCGGGGATCGGCCCTTTGATCCCTTGGCGTCCCTGCGTCCCCGTGGTTGGCCAAGGTCATCACCTGTATTCCCTTGTTACTGCACAGACAGGTCAGGACACAGCAAGACCTCTCCTTGTATCCCAGCCCCTCAGAGTCCCCATGTGTGTGTCCCAGAGCTCTCATCCACAGTTGCTCTCAAGGCAGACCCCTTGGCTCCTCCCAGGGTCTCTGGTAGGCAGAATTGGCCAGACCAGTCGAGGACAGCTGTCTTGAATGGAAGGCAACCTTGATGGCTGGGATGAGACCACCTGTTGCCTGTACCTCCAGGCTGTGTCCAGGGCCTGGGATTCCAGCTGTTCTCTTCTCCAGGTGTCCTGGAGGCAGGCCTGGCCCAGCCACCCCCTTGCCTGTATCACCTGTGAGAGGTGTTGCCAGCTGTGGAGAGGGGAGATGAAGGACATCCTGGGAAGATCACCCTCCTGACAATGTTCTCTCCTGCTGAGCTGAAAATAGCTGGTGCTGGCTGGAGAAGGGGCTTGCCTAGGGGTCTGCTCATACCCCTCACTCCAGGCAGGCCCCCAGGCTTACTCTAGTCCTGCTGCAGGCATTGGTTGTCACCAGGAAGGGGAACATATCCCCCAGCCTCTTGGAGGTGGGAGGGCTGAGGCTGCTGGCCTATGCCCCAAGCCCTGGGGTCCCTGGCACAGAGACTCAGTGGCCTGCGAGCTCGGCCAGGAGCCGCTTTGTGGGGTCTGGCGCGGCCAGGGTCTCCGGCACAGCTTTCCGGCTCCCTGCCTAACTCGTCTGGGAGCAGGCAGGGACCTTGCTGTTTGACCAGCTGTACTCTCTGTCTAGCAGGCAGCCGGGTGAGGACAGGGTATCCAGGCTGCATGCCAGCGTCTGCAAGCTGCTTCCCACCCCCAGTAGCTGCGGGAACACTTGTAGACCCCTATAGGAGGCTGCCTCCCCCATGCCCGGGAGTGTCAGCCCGGCTGAGCAAAGACTGTGATGCCATCACACACCCTTGCTGTGCCTACACCTCTTTTGCTGGGACCGGCCCCAGGGCTTGCCATAGACCTGGGCTTAGCTTGTGTGATACCCCTGCCAATGACTCAGGCCCTGGCCTGCCCACCTGCCCCAGCTTTGCCCTCTGGGCCTTTCAAGGAGCCCAGGAGCTGGAGATTTGAGATAACTGTGTGGCTGGAGTCCTGAGAGCACTGAGGTCCTCCTTGTCTCCCCTCTGTGTGGTGTGGCTGAGTGGTCTCCTGAGGGTTCAACCTCACACACCGCCTTCTACCCACAGAGCTTAAGGCCACAGGCACGGCCCACTTCTTTAACTTCCTGCTCAACACCACCGACTACCGAATCCTGCTCAAGGACGAGGACCACGACCGCATGTACGTGGGCAGCAAGGACTACGTGCTGTCCCTGGACCTACACGACATTAACCGCGAGCCCCTGATTGTGAGCACCAGCCAGGATGTGGGTGTGGGGTTGGGGGCCTGAGGGCAAAGGCCCACCAGCAGGCAGCATCAGCAACCCCCCACACAACCCCTTCTCTGGCAGATCCACTGGGCAGCCTCACCACAGCGCATCGAGGAGTGCGTGCTATCAGGCAAGGATGGCAACGTAAGTGTCGTGGGCTTGGGGTAGGGATGCTGTGTGGAGGAGCGCAGGCATTGGGCACCCACACGCCTTTCTCTCTGGCCCCAGGGTGAGTGCGGAAACTTCATCAGGCTCATCCAGCCCTGGAACCGAACACACTTGTATGTGTGTGGTACGGGTGCCTACAACCCAGTGTGCACCTATGTGAACCGTGGCCGTCGTGCCCAGGTAAGCCCGGCCCACCCTGGCCCTCTGGGGTGCCCCTCTGATGGGCCTGCCTGCCCTTCCAGGGTCCTGATGGGAGGAAGGGCTCGAGCCCCCAGCCCTGAGCCCTATGAGTTGGGTGAGTGACTCGGTTCTCTTTCTCTGAGCCTTGGGATCTGAAAACAGGGCTAACAGCTGCCTTTCTCACAGGTCGGGTGAGTAGGTGCTGAGCTAAGGCTGTGCAGCAAGGGCTGGGCCTTGCACACAGGGAGCGCTGGTTCTGTGCACGGCCACAGCTCTCTGGGCTCTGCCTGTGTGGGGCGTGTGCCCCTGCGGCCAAGACCCAAGGCTTCAGCATCAAAAGCAGGACACCTGGGTCTGCTTCCACCGATGGGGAGAAAGTGGTTTCCTCCTCTGGTTCTAGGGGACTGGGGGAACTGCCCTTTTCCCAGTTCTACCCTTCGCCTGCTTCTGCCCTTTTCCATATCCATGTGGACGTGTGTGTGAGCTCGTAGGGCACAAGTGAGAGTGACTGCTCAGAGGGAGCACGTGGGTGTGCACCTGCATGTAGGTGCACACACGTTCCTGAGGGGCCTGTGGTGTGTCTGGCCTGTGTGGTGTGAGAGGCTGGCAGCCCAAGCCCGCTCCCCCAGCCCCTGCCACCCCCAGCTCTGATCCCTATTCCTCATCTTCTCAGGCCACGCCGGGAATGCAGACGCAGGTGGCCAGAGGCCGCGGCAGCAGAGCCACGGATGGCACCCTCCGCCCGACGCCCACAGCCCCACGCCAGGTGGGCCTTACTCCAGGCAGCATGGCCCCGGAGCTGAACTCAGCCTGGGCCAGCCTGTCCTGGGACATCCCTCTGCCTACCTCGGTGCCCCCACTCCATCCCTGCCCTGCTCCTGCAGTGTCCTCAAGCCCTGGAGGCATCCCCGACTGGATTCATGTCAGCCCTAGTGTGACCCCTGCAGGCAAGAGTGATGAAGCCACCAGGTGGGGAAGACAGGAGCCTGGGAGCCGTGCTTCTGGCCTCAGAACACATGTGTAGACACGCCTGAGCGTACACCAACATGTACTTGGCCACACCTTCCTCAGCACATGGCACCTGAGTGGGCACATGGCACCTGTGGGCGATCTAACACCTTCCTTCAAGGGGTCTAGGCCCTGTGCTGCCCCCAGGACAGGGGTCCCACACATTGCTCATGCTGGGGTTCTCTTCCCCTGAGGCGGTATATGTCCACTTGCCACAACCGGACAAGTTGTGGAGTGGAAGAGCTGGGGCTGGGCAGGGGCGGGCAGGAGGGCAGGGGCTGCCGGTGGATGACAGAATGTGTATGTCTACAGTGGGGAATGCTGACGAGTGTGACCCTTCTGATTGTGTGTATGCATGTGTGTGTGTGCATGTGTGAGTAGTGGCCTCCATGTACCGGCAAAGATGTGTGTCAGGCTGTGTGTGCAGGAAGCCACGTGTGCAGAGTGTAACTGGAAGTGGGCCTGTGTGCACCTGCCCATCACCATCCTGCCACCTGCTGTGCCTCCTCCTGCCTCTGCCTCTGCCTCTCTCCTCTCCCCTATCCCTCCCATCTCCCTGCCATTGCCTGTGGCCCATGAGCTCTCCCTGGCTGCAGCATCTCTACCAGCCTCTCTTCCGCCATCTAGGAGGCTTGAACAGCGTTGGCCAGTCCATGTGGTCTGAGCTGGATCTTTAACTTCTGGCTCCCTGGGGAGGCCTGGGAGGCTGGGGGCGGGGGCAGGTGAGCTCTGCCAAAGCAGAGGAGCCTATCCATGCATAAAGCCTGGGGACACTGGAGCCTCAGTTCTATGGCCTGGTCAGACCTGATAGCCAAGGACAAGACCTGATGACTGGTGAATGCCTCTTGGCCAATCCAGATGTGCAGCCCCTCCTTGGCTCCAGATGGGCATTTTCACCTCAGAGCTGTGCCTCTGTGGTCTGACAGGGCTCTGGCCAATGTCTTTATGAGCCAGTTACCATGGAAGGGGCTGAACCCCTCCTTGTCCACTCCATGCCCACCTTTCCCTTCCCGTGTCCCCTTCCCCTCCCGACTTGATTCCCAGGAGTTGCCTGAGACTCTGCAGCAGGAGACCTGGCCAAATGAAGTGCAGACCTCAGGAGCTCTGGGAGTGCAGGGAGTGGGCTTAGAATGTCCCTGAGGACCCTGACCCGCCGGCTGGGGACAGGCCCGGATGGTGCTCAGCCCCTCTCTGTCCTGCAGGATTACATCTTCTACCTGGAGCCTGAACGACTCGAGTCAGGGAAGGGCAAGTGTCCATACGACCCCAAGCTGGACACGGCCTCTGCCCTCATCAGTGAGTGCTCCCCACCCTGCCCTTGTCCCCTAGACTGAGTGTGGGCTCCTAGGAAGGGGGTCCCAGGCAGGCTGTCCTCAAAGCCCCTGGTGGGAGAGGGCTGCAGCTCAGAGCCTGGTGTGGTCACAGAAAACAGTGGGCATGAGCCTCTCTCCGGCTCTCTGGGCTAGCACGGGCCCTGCCATGGGCTCCCTGAGTGAGAAGCCAGCCAAACTGGGTCTGTCTGGGAGGTTGGAGGGTCCCCTACCTCACTCTAGATACCTAAAGTAGCCTGAGGCCCACATCAAAGCACCTGTAGGGAGCTCTGGCCTGGTGACCAGCTGCGGGGCGCATGCGTGTTTCTGGTCTGGGCAGGTGTCTGGGAGAGCTGGGGCTGTTACCCAAACCTGTACCTTGAGAATGGCTGCTGTACCTCCTGCCCGTGAACTCGGCCTGTTTTCTGACTGCCAGGACAGTCTGCCTGTGTGCAGTACCTGCAAGCCTGGGACAGCCCAGTGAGTCGGCTTCATCCTCCTGCTGTTGGTCAGTGAGGAAGTCCCAGTCTGATGGCAGAGCCCAGAGCAGGAGTTTTATGGCAGAAGACAGGGCCTACCCTGAGGGAAGAGGGCAGGGCAGGGGTTGCAGGAGGCTATGCAGGGGGTCAGACTCCCAGAATTTTGTGAGTCACTGGTGAAACATAGCCATTACTAAAAGTGCAATACTGTAAACTCAGAATGAGATAGATTCCATTAGAGATAGCGGCAGAGGTAGCTAACACAGCTCCATACTTCCTGGTTGTCTTCCTGTATTCTGTGATGACCTGGCCCCCTCCACCTCCCTAGGGGCTCCCCTCCAGGCTGTCCATGTACAGACCTTCTGCAAGGGTGGGTGCAGCCTGCCTGGGCGGCCATTCTTGCCCCCAGGCTCTTCCAGCCACTTAAGCCTTTGGTCAACTGCAGAGGCAGGGAGGGACTGAGTACCAGGATGGTGCAGTGGGCAGGGCAGCTCTGGGACTCACCGCCAGCCACCCACAGATGAGGAACTCTATGCCGGCGTGTACATCGACTTCATGGGAACAGATGCCGCCATCTTCCGCACGCTCGGAAAACAGACAGCCATGCGCACAGATCAGTACAACTCTCGATGGCTCAATGGTGAGTGCTGAGGTGGCTGGGGCACAGGTGGTCAAGCAGGGAATGTCGCTGGGAAGAAGGGCTCATGCCTCCTTACTCTCTGCTTCGCCCTGCTGCAGACCCATCCTTCATCCATGCCGAGCTGATTCCTGACAGCGCCGAGCGCAACGATGACAAACTTTACTTTTTCTTTCGCGAGCGCTCAGCAGAGGCACCGCAGATGCCGGCAGTGTACGCACGTATTGGGCGGATCTGCCTGGTAGGCCTGAAGCCCCTTCCCCGGTGGGGTCAGGGACAGGGTGCAGGACACATATGGGCACCCCTCTGACTTAGCCCCCCGCACCTGCTGCAGAATGATGATGGCGGCCACTGCTGCCTAGTGAACAAGTGGAGCACCTTCTTGAAGGCGCGTCTCGTCTGCTCCGTGCCTGGTGACGACGGCATCGAGACGCACTTCGACGAGCTCCGTGAGCTGGGGACAGAGGCTAAGGTGATGCCCTGGGGTCCTCCTCCAGGCCCTGCCTAAGGCTCCTCCCTGTCCTTTCCCCTTGTGTCCCTAGAGGACGTGTTTGTCCAGCAGACTCAAGATGTGAGGAACCCGGTCATCTATGCTGTCTTCACTTCCTCGGGGTGAGGCTGGGGACACGGCGGGCAGAGGACATCTGCCTGCGAGAGAACTGTGGCCCCTGGGTGGAGGAGGAAGGCGTGGGAGGGGCCTTGGGCCAGGGTCTGCTGCCCATTTCTGGCCTCCTGCCTGCAGCTCAGTGTTCCGTGGTTCTGCCGTGTGTGTCTACTCCATGGCTGACATCCGCATGGTCTTCAACGGGCCCTTTGCCCATAAGGAGGGCCCCAATTACCAGTGGATGCCCTTTTCTGGGAAGATGCCCTACCCACGGCCTGGCACGGTGAGTGTTCCTGGCTTCCTGCCTCTCCTTCTGAAAGATCTATGGTAGGTCAAGCCCTTCACAGGCCTGGGTTCCCTATTCCAGGACTCTTGGCTAATGGGGGAAGTAGACCCAACACCCAGAAATCAGGCACAGCCCTGGGCAGATCGGGAAGGGAGCAGTAAGTGATGGAGGGCTGACCTGCAGAGGGCCCTCTGAGGCCCTGTTAGGGAGCTGAAGGTCAGAGGGCACTCTTCAAGACCATAGCTGGAGGTTGGCTTAGCCTGTGGGCATTCACAGGGAGCAGGGGACAAGGCTCTCACTGTGGGCCCCAGGAGATGGCATTTGCTCTGTCTTGCTGTGACCTGGGCTTGCAGGGATCAGAGAAGGCACCTGACCTCCACCCTGGCCAGAGGTGAATAGAAGAGAGGCTGCAGGCTGAGTCCAGGCAGAGGAGAACAGCCAGTGGAGGGAGAAGGGCCAGAAGTCGGTTGTGCAAACCAGGAAGACAGGAGGCAGGCAGGAGAAACTGGTAGAAAAGCTGGCATCCCAGCTGCCAGAAACTGCCCCAGGCAGCAGCTTGGTCCTGTGACACAGGACCTTGTCCAGAGCAGGACCACCCAAAAGGTGGGAGTGGAGAGCAAAGGGCAGGGGAAGGGCTCTAAGGAGAGAAGCAAGGGGAAGCTTGGGCAGCGGGGCTGATACCCATTGCCTGCCTGCAGTGTCCCGGTGGAACCTTCACTCCATCCATGAAGTCCACCAAAGACTACCCTGATGAGGTCATCAACTTCATGCGCAGCCACCCGCTCATGTACCAGGCCGTGTACCCTCTGCAGCGGCGGCCCCTGGTGGTCCGCACGGGGGCTCCCTACCGACTCACCACCGTCGCTGTAGATCAGGTGGATGCAGCTGACGGGCGCTATGAGGTGCTTTTCCTGGGCACAGGTACCCACTGCTGCTCGTGGCCCCTCCCACGCTGGGCCCACTGGGTGGGGGGTGCTGCCCTCTAGGCTGGAACCTGCCCTGCTAGGAGTTAGAACAGCTCAAAGAAAGTCCACCAAGGTCCACTCTGGTCTCTTCGTCCTGAGAGTCTTTTTCTTATATGGGAATAGTGGACGCTGGGCATGGGAGAACCCCGTGGCCATCGCCATCCTCATCCTTGGGGTACCTCGGGACCCCTGCGGACAGATGGCAGACACGTGTGCATGCACACAAAGATACGCCTGCTACAGCCAGTCCCCACACCGGAGGGTCAAGCCCCACATGACAGTAGGTTGGGGGCAGATCCTGGCCATTCTGCTCATCCTGGGGGAACCCTTCAGCCTTGGCACAGCGCGGCTCCACTACCCTTGGGGAAACGGGGAGGGGTTGGACCCTGGTAGGGGAAGGGGCTGAGGCTGGTGCCCCTTCCCCTGCATCCCCAGCCCCACTGAGGCCATGCCCGGCCTGTTCCAGACCGCGGGACAGTACAGAAGGTCATTGTGCTGCCCAAAGATGACCAGGAGGTGGAAGAGCTCATGCTGGAAGAGGTGGAGGTCTTCAAGGTGGGTGTGGCATCGCTTGGTCCTATCTTCCACCCCATACACCTGTCCCTGGTCCCATCTGTAGGGCCGGGAGGTCTTAGGTTGACCCTTGCCTTCTTCTAGGAACCAGCACCTGTTAAGACCATGACCATCTCTTCCAAGAGGGTAAGTCTGATGAGGTGGCCAGGGGAAGGGGGGTGGTGTTTGCATCCCTTTGGGCTCCCGCTTTTGTCACAAGGATGGGTAAACTGAGTCCTTGAACAAGGAGGAGGAGTCCTGACATTCAGCTGTCTGATGAAGACTGGCAGCAAGGAGGGAGCTGACTAGTCCTTATCACCCCCACCTCCAGCAACAACTGTATGTGGCCTCAGCTGTGGGTGTCACGCACCTGAGCCTGCATCGCTGCCAGGCATATGGTGCTGCCTGTGCTGACTGCTGCCTCGCCCGGGACCCCTACTGCGCCTGGGATGGCCAGACCTGTTCCCGCTACACAGCATCCTCCAAGAGGTGTGGTCCTTCAGTTAGCTGCTGTCCTGGGGTCTGGTGGTAGTTGTACTGTTACCTTGAGGATGGGAGTCTGTGGAATTTCCAGGGTACCAGGACCCTAGGTAGGGGTGGGGTAGCAGCTTCCGGGAAGCACCGCATCAGGAGCCCATTCTCTTCCCTAACGTCCCCCCAGGCGGAGCCGTCGCCAGGATGTCCGGCACGGGAACCCCATCAGGCAGTGCCGTGGATTCAACTCGAATGGTGAGTGTGGGCTGGGGTTGCCTACACAGCAGAGCCCGCAGAGCCCATGGGGGTGGAGAGCAAGTGGCTCTGGGCTGTCCCAGGTCACCTCCTTAAAATGTGGCGGCTGCCCTGCCTCTGTGGGTCCCTGTCACCCATCAACCAGTAGGCCAGCATTCAACGTATTCTTTGCCCCACAGCCAACAAGAATGCCATGGAGTCGGTGCAGTATGGCGTGGCAGGCAGTGCCACCTTCCTGGAGTGCCAGCCACGCTCACCCCAAGCCACGGTCAAGTGGCTTTTCCAGCGAGATCCTGGTGACAGGCGCCGAGAGGTGAGCCCTGCCCCACAGGGTCCTGGGCAGGTCTTAAAAAGGCAGCCCTGGTGCAGTGACGCACATGGAAGTTACTGGAATGAGGCCACTGTGTTCAGGCTTTGGGAGGCAGGCCTCATTCGGGGTGTCATAGTGTCTCATGAGTCAGCTAGGGTGGGCCAACCTTGGTGAGGGTAGCAGGGGGGTGAGGGTGGTCCTGCAGCCCCTAAGCCCACCCCCTGCCCCTGCCTGCAGATTCGTGCTGAGGAGCGCTTCCTGCGCACAGAGCAGGGCTTGCTGCTCCGTGCCCTGCAGCTCAGCGACCGAGGTCTGTATTCCTGCACAGCCACTGAGAACAACTTCAAGCACATTGTGGTGCGGGTACAGCTGCACGTGCTAGGCCGAGAAGCCGTCCACGCCGCCCTCTTCCCGTCACTGGCCGTGAGCGCCCCACCACCTCCGGGTGTGGGACCTCCCACGCCTCCTTACCAGGAGCTGGCCCAGCTGCTGGCCCAGCCAGAAGTGGGCCTCATCCACCAGTACTGCCAGGGCTACTGGCGCCATGTTCCTCCCAGCCCACGGGAGGCCCCTGGGGCACCTAGACCACCAGAGTCCCAGGACCAGAAAAAGCCCCGGAACCGTCGGCACCACCCTCCGGACACCTGAGGCTGGCTGCTCCTGCCCCATGAGGGGCCACCCAGCCCCCATCCCTTTTAATATAAAAGATCTATATATATATATATAAATATATAAAATATCTATATTCTATACACATCCTGCCCCGTCAAAGACAGTATTTATTGGTGGGTTGTACAGAGTCTGCCCCATCGGCAACAGTGTCCGGAACTCAGACCCGCAATGGGCAGAGACGGCAGAAATATGAGCCTGCTTTCCCAGGCTGGGCAAGGGCCAGGACTATTTAGTTCCCAGCTCAGCTGCACCTCACTTGCTCCGTGACTGCTGCCAGAGACCTACAGGACCCAGGGAGGGAGCAAGGCCCACCTTTGGGGGGCATGGACTGAGTACCTTGGCCATACACACCTGCAACCCATGCTGTGGCCTGGACCTGGCCATGGCTGCAAGGACTGCTTTGGAGACTGGGTAAGGGGGCTCAGGTGCTCTCGGATAAGGGAAGAAGGGGCCACCGTCACTGCCAGACACACCTCTGCCTTGGTTGAGGGCATTCACTGGAAGCAGCCCCTTCCCCAGTATTTATTCTCTTATTTATTGGGGACAGGAGAGGAACCCTGTCCAGGTGGGGCAGTTCTGACAGCTGCTTCCTCCCTGCCCCTCAGACCTGGCTAGGGTGGCCCCACGGCACCTCCACAGCTGTCCTTGTGCCCACTGAACCCAGGAGCTGAGTGGATAACAGAGGGGCCTGCCAGGGTTCCCCAGTGCTCCCTTCTGCCCACCACTGCAGGCCATGGGTGTAAATAGCCCTGGGTGGCCACGCAGGGTGCCACGCTGCTGCCCAGGCCACAGCTGCCCTTGGGTGCCATCTTGCTAATAAACACTGGCTCTGGGACTAGACTTCGGCTTCTCTCTTGGGGAAGGGTGTGTATCCTACTATATGTACTGTTTTTTATTCTGAGTTTATACATGTTTCATCCTGGATAGCTGCCACACTTTGTTATTAGTTATTGGAAAGACAGAAATCTTCCATCCACAGGTTGACTCCCCAAGGGCCTGCCAAAGCTGGTGCTGGGCCAGATCAAGCCAGGAGCTCAAGCCAGGTCTCCCATGAGGTTGGCAGGGATGCCAGTACTTCAGCCATCTCCTGCTGCCCCCAGGGTACACATTAGCAAGGAGCTGGAATCTGCAAATCTGGGCTTAGAACCCATGCGTGCCATGGCAGCCTGAGTGGCATATTGACTGCTATGCTGAACACCAGCCCAGTTGTGAGATGTGGAGCCATACCTAATGGGCATGGGGAATGGGGGGGCAGAAGGTGGGTCCCACTTCAGAGAAATCCACTGTGCAAAACCAGCTTGGGTTTCCCAGACCTGGGCTCCTGCAGGATGCCAACCATGGGCAGCATGAGCTGCAGAGTGGAGCTGGGGCTCAGGAATTCAAAGTGGGACCAATCAACAATCAAGTTATATCTCCCTCACCCAGCAAGAAGGGTCGGTGTAAGAGCCACTTCACTTACCCCACTTCCTGTTGTGGCCTCAGCGCTCAGTATCTGGGGTCCTGGCACCCCCTCGTGGGCTTCAGAGGCTGTGCTAGTTGAGTAGTCAGAGGCAGACAGCTTCCAGAGCCGGAGGGAGGCCAGCCACGGGGCTCAGGGCCTCTGGAGGGAGGTTTCCTGATTATTGGGAGGGAACTGGCAAGCCTAGACAACACTGCAGGCATGCACACATGTAGGCACGCACAGGCCCCCTGGCATGTGTGCAGGCACATGTCAGACACTTGAACCCAAATGAATAATGTGCACCTAAAGAAAAGCTCCACACATAGATGCATTCCTGCATAGATGGGCACCCTTAGGCACATGGGAGCAACCGTGTAGACATGACATACATGTGTGTACACAGGTGCATATGTGGTACATCATTGCCTTGCATGCATTGTACCAGTGAAGGACAGATACATACACCCAGGCACACACAGTAGACATTCCTGGGCAGCCATTGGGGCTGATAATAGTAAGTGGAGGAGCCAGGTAAGCCCCAGCTAGGCCCGTGCAAACCCTCCTACTGCCATCCCTGCCCAGGCTCCACCAGACACTTAGAACCTACCCTTCTCCATCTGAGCACCAACCCTCCTTGCTGTCTCCCGCGCCTCTCCTGGGGGGATGGGGAGGGCACAGCAGGGGTGCAGAGTCAGCAGGGGAAGGATTGGGGCCATGCCAGCGCCGATTACAAAGTTGGGGGGGCTGAGCTAGATTCACCTGTCCTTGTCTCTGATTGGCTCTTGTGCATTCCTAGCCCCCAAATCCCACTCAGCACCCCCTCCACCAGGGCCTGCACAAGTCTGCAAAGAGCCATTTGATTGTCAGTTACGGGGCCAGAAGGGCAGCAGGGGAGGCCACAGAAGGCTTAAGTCTGGCTCTTGGGATTCCTGGCACCCAAAAGCGCCACCTGCCCACCCTGCACCCTCACCTGCTGCCAGAGCCATGGGGGCTGGGGCCAGCGCTGAGGAGAAGCACTCCAGGGAGCTGGAGAAGAAGCTGAAGGAGGACGCTGAGAAGGATGCTCGAACAGTGAAACTGCTGCTCCTGGGTAAGGCCCTGTGGGGGCAGGTGGACAGCCCTGCCGGGAGGAAGAGAAAAGAGGCTGGGATTAGGCAAGGCACAGAGCAGGAACCTTGAGCAGGCCAAGGTCCTCTAGAGGGCTGGGCCTCAGAAAGTCAGGTGCTAAGTCCACTGTGACCGGTCTGCACAGGCCCCTCTGGCTACAGCTGCCATGGGTTTGGTGGACCTGTGGGGCAGGGCTTGGGAACCAGGGGCCTCTCAGGGATCCCTACACCTGGCTGCTCCCCTGGGAAGAAGGCCACAGTCCTCCTAGGAGGTCTGGATTTACAAACCACGGCCCTCAGGTGTCAAGGTTACCCTGCTGGTTCACCTGCCAAGCAGGTGGAGGTGGAGGGGCACTGAAGGAAATAAAGCCTGGTCCACAGTGGTCCATGGATGGGGAGGGGAGGTGGGACTTGACCCTAGCCTTCCTCAAGGCCACAGCCAACCCCTCCCCCAAGGGACCAGCACAGAGTGAGGGAGTAGGGCCAGCCAACCAGCTGGAGGCCCTGTGGGGAACAAGGGACCAATCTAGAGCTACTCAGCCGCCTGGGGCCAGCAGAGGCACAGAGGCTAAGCCGGAAATCCCATTAACTATGTCCAACTCCCTGGCAGGGACAGGATCAAAAAGGATACCAGCTCTGTCCTCTCCCCCACCCAAAGGCGCTAATTCTCTCTGAGCCTTTTAGAGCCCGCCCACCTTCCTTCTGAAAACAAGAACAACAAAAAAACAAAACAAAACAGGAGGAGTGGGTGCCGCCCCCCCAAATAAACCCACGGGGACGGCGCCAGGAATACCCACAAGGTGGCGCTCCAGGATCAGTTTGGTCTCAGCACAGGCCAAGCTGCGCACACCGAGGCTGGGGGGATTCAACGCACAGAGCTCAGTGGGGGTCACTGATGTTCCCTTCAGGCCCTCTTTTAGTCACTTTCCGGACATTTACACACGGTTTTTCTACACACGGTTTTTCACCAGAGCTTCGGGACTTGGCTTTGGCCTGGGGCGGGGGTGCAGGATAGGGGTGACTGGATTGGGCTGGCACCTGCCCCCTGCCTCAGCCTCCCAGCACACGAGGACCGCAGACGCTGGATGCTGCTCCCTTTTCAGGTGCGGGTGAGTCCGGGAAGAGCACCATCGTCAAACAGATGAAGTGAGTACCCTGGCGGCCTGCGACTCGGGAGGGAGGGGGCTGGGCGGCGTGTGCATGCACCAGGCTTGCCTTGCACCTCCGGCCCGCAGGCCGCTGACCCCGCTCGCTCCGGCCGCAGGATTATCCACCAAGACGGGTACTCGCTGGAAGAGTGTCTGGAGTTCATTGCCATCATTTACGGCAACACACTGCAGTCCATCTTGGCCATTGTGCGCGCCATGACCACGCTCAACATCCAATATGGAGATTCGGCGCGCCAGGTGCGTCCAAAGTGGGCCATGCGTGGGGATAGGGGTAGGGATGGGCACGGCCGGAGGCATCCGGTTGGGCCCGGACTCCTGTCCTCCAGCCACACCTTCTCCTCCCGCGCGGCCCGCAGGACGACGCCCGCAAGCTGATGCACATGGCCGACACCATAGAGGAAGGCACCATGCCCAAGGAGATGTCCGACATCATCCAGAGGCTGTGGAAGGACTCGGGTATCCAGGCCTGCTTCGAACGCGCTTCCGAGTACCAGCTCAACGACTCGGCGGGCTAGTGAGCACGGATGGGCAGCGCGGGGCACAGGTGGGCCCTGCCCCAGGTCCCTCGCTTACGCGCCCGCTCTCTGCCCGCAGCTACCTCTCAGACCTGGAGCGCCTGGTGACCCCGGGCTACGTGCCCACCGAGCAGGACGTGCTGCGCTCACGAGTTAAGACCACTGGCATCATTGAGACACAGTTCTCATTCAAGGACCTCAACTTCCGGTACGACCCCAATATCCCCACACTCCTCCTCTGCACTGCCTGGGGACCCCTCCATCACGATCCTGGAACTCCCATACCAAGAGGAATGCGCGTCCTGGGAAAAGGGGGCCCGAGGTGCACGGCACTCAGGCTCCACTCGCGGGGCTCCTACAGGATGTTCGACGTGGGCGGGCAGCGCTCGGAGCGCAAGAAGTGGATCCACTGCTTCGAAGGTGTGACCTGCATCATCTTCATTGCCGCGCTGAGCGCATATGACATGGTGCTGGTGGAAGACGACGAGGTGGTGAGTGGCTGGGCTGGGGTGGGGTGGGAAAGGCAGCCTGAGGGTGGGCATAGGGAGGCAAGGGCGCTTGTGTGGGGGACACGCCCCGGTGCCTGCCTCCCCGGTGCCCGACAGCCGCTGCCGCCCACAGAACCGCATGCACGAGAGCCTGCACCTGTTCAACAGCATCTGCAACCACCGCTACTTCGCCACCACCTCCATCGTGCTCTTCCTCAACAAGAAGGATGTCTTCTCCGAGAAGATCAAGAAGGCACACCTTAGCATCTGCTTCCCAGACTATGACGGTGAGTTCCCACCCTGCCCTCGAGCGCCACCCCCACACCCCGTGGCCCTGGGACCGCGAGCCAGTCAGTGCCCCCTCCCCCATACCTCCTTCCGCAGGGCCCAACACCTATGAGGATGCGGGCAACTACATCAAGGTGCAGTTCTTGGAGCTCAACATGCGGCGGGATGTGAAGGAGATCTACTCCCACATGACATGCGCCACCGACACACAGAACGTCAAGTTCGTCTTCGACGCCGTCACCGATATTATCATCAAGGAGAACCTCAAAGACTGTGGCCTCTTCTGAGGTGGGGTCCTTGACAGCCTGGACAACACTGCCCCCTCCTGCCGGCTAGTTCCCCAGCCCCAGCCCAGCACCCTACAACTGCAGCCCCACACACCCCAGGCTCCAGCAGCTACTTTCAGCCCTATCCCATCCCACCCCCTTGCAAGTCCCCATCCTTTGGTCCCTCCCTCCCCTCAGCACGTGGGGTATCAGAGTTCCCCCGACAAAGCCCAAACCCGGTTAATTTAGGGTTCAGGGCTGCTGATCTGCTTCCCTTGTCTCTTGCCAGAATACATGGGTGTCCCTTGCCTTGATACCCTGTAGCGCTAGTAGCCTTGTAGCCCCCAAGAAGCCCATCAGCGCCCCACCTCCCTAAGACTCTGGGGCCCCAGCACGCCACCTCACAGCCACAAACTCCATCCTTGAGCTCTGGTACCCTGGAGGAGTGGCTATGCCCCCAGCCCCACCCTGTCCTTGGCCTCTTGGACCTCAGGCAGGCCTCACTCAAAATAGCTGGGCTCACATTGTGACTCAGCAGTGACTCAGCAGTGCCCAGCTGATCAATCCTGCCCTCCTAGGAGCCACCACTCACCTGGTGGGTTTAGGTTCAGCAAACATCCCCTCCCCACCAGCCCCCTGTCATGAGAACAGGAGTGGGTGGCCCTCCCCAAAGCAGGCCTGCCACTTCCTGCAGCCTAGTCCACCTCCATGTGACAAGTTCAGATACCTGTCCATTCTGTGGCCAGTGAGTCCCGCCCAGCAATTTCAGAGGTCCAAAGTCCAAGCTGGCTCTGGTCCATACATAAATGGGAGGGAGGGGGAGCTGGGACCCCCTCCCCTCCAGCGACCAGAGACAGTTTCCAGCTAAGCCTTCCCCAAATACAGACTCAGAGTCACCCACCCACCCCTGCTTTCCCCATGGGAATTGCCCACTCTGTTCTCAGACATGAGATCCATGCCCTGCCTCACCCCCCTACACACACACACACACACACACACACACACACACCTAAATTGGCAGGCAAAGGGGATGGTCAGTTGAGGGCCAATGGTGGAACTGTCCTGAGGGGTGGCTGCGGGCAGAGTCCGGCACCCATCGATCAGCCCAGGCAGAGGAATCAGAAAAAGAGCAAGGCCTAGGCTGTGCCCAAGGTGTCTAACTCAGGTGGCATGGTTAGCAGTCCACCCTTCTGCAACTGCAGCGGCTCATTCCCTGGCAGGGAAACAGAGTGCCAGGTCAGAACCATTAGGGCTGAAGGCTCCATGTCCCCAACCCCCTGCTCCCTCCTTCCTTATCCGGCACCCCGTGACTTGCTTCTGCCCATCGGCTAGGGCCTGTGTGTGCTGCACTGACTCAGGGGCAAGCAGCTTCATCCATTAGGCCGAAGCACAGTTTGCGCTCCCTTTAGCTGTGCGCGCAGATTCAGCAATAAAACTTTGTATTAGGCCCCCCTCTCCTTTCTTGGGGTGGGGTGGGGAGCTACTAAGTGCCCAGGGCTGCCTGGGACCTCCCAGGGAGAAGCATTTGGCCTGGACTGAAGAGGCCCATGCCTGGAGGGATCTGAGACCAACTCAAGTCTCTTGAGGAAGATCATGGGTAAGGAGTGAAGGAAAGCTCTCCTTGGACAGGCAGGGCCCAGTGTGATGGGGACATTGGAGTATGTCAGTCAAAGAAACAAAAAAACAAAACAAAAGACAAAAAGATAGTGGAGTGTATCAGACCCAGCGATGGGGTTGGACTCTGCTGTTAAGAGCAGAGAGGGAGGAGGTATACTGGGTGAAAGGGGGCTGACACGGGGTCTTCAGGTTGAGCTTTCTCCAGGAGGCCACTGAGTGTCTGGGGGCCGAGGCTATGGCCAGGCTGGGCTCCTGGGGAGGCAGGTGAGCTCTTTAAAAATATTTGTCAGAAGCAAAACTTAAAAATCCACAATAAAAAATCTCAAAAGGCAACAGAGATGTATGGGAACATATTGGGACCTGGAGAAAAGAAAAATATCTTCCCCTGTATACATTTTGATTTTTTAAAAGATTGATTTATTTTTATAGGAAAGGCTGATTTACAGAGAAGGAACGACAGAGAAAGATATTCCATTTGCTGCTTCATTCCCCAAGTGGCCACAACGGTCAGAGCTGAGTTGATCTGAAGCAAGAAGCCAGGAGCTTCCTCCGGGTCTTCCGCACAGGTGCAGGTTCACAAGGCATTGGGCCATTCTTGACTGCTTTCCCAGGCCACAAGCAGGGAGCTGGATGGGAAGTGGAGCAGCCGGGATATGAACCAGCACCCATATGAGATCCTGGGCATGCAAGGCAAGGATTTAGCCACTAGGCTATCGCACTCAGCCCACATTTTATTATTATTATTATTTTTTTTTTTGCCAATTTTCTTTCCTTCATGATGAAATATATGTATCATAAAAATCATTACTATAGGTGTAGCTGCTGAAGGCACTACCTGTGACACCAGCATCCCATGTGGGCATCAATTTGAGTCCTGACTGCTCCACTTTGGATCCAGCTCCTTAGTTATGGCCTGGGAAAGCAGCAAAAGATGACCTGAGTGTCTGGGTCCCTGCACTCACATGGGAGACCCAGATGAAGCTGTTTTTTCCTAGCTTCAGCCTGGCCTAGGACTAACTGTTGTGGCCATGAGGAAAGTGAACCGGTGGATGCAAGATCTCTTTTTCACTCTCCATTTCTCTGTAACTCTGACTTAAAAAAAAAAAATCTTAAAGTCAAAAAGCAATAAAATCCCTACTTTAAGAATCTATTTCTGTGTTGTTAAACACACTGAGTACAGTACACCATCATCACCATCCACCTTCAGATTTTTTTTGTCCTGTAAAGCCAAAACTTGGTGTCCATTAACCACTGACTCCCTCCTCCTCTTCTCCCAGCACCTGACAACCACCCACCCACTTTGTATCTCTGACTTTGCACCTGAGTCCTGCGTGTAAGTGCAGTGGTACTGATTTAGCCTTTTTGTGGCTGGTTTAGTTAATTCAGAATGGTGTCTTCTGGTTCATCCAGATTGTACCATGTGTCAGAATTTCCTCTGGAATTCAGACCCAGAATCCCTGTCCATTCCCAGCGAGAGTGTATGGGGGGGGGGGCGGGAGGGACGGGCGTCACTGGGCCTGAAGCTTGCCTAGTGCTACGCGTGACATCAGTATAATTACACCTTAGGGTGCATGATCAATGGGTGCCCGATGCCTGATTCACAGTCCAGGGCAGAGATCAGAGAGAAATGCCTTAGAACCACCGCCATCGCCACACCCTGGGCTTTTAGGTGGGGGCGTCCACTGCGAGCACCTCCGGCTACTGCAATCCCTGCCTGACCTACAACTTGGCCTTCAGCTTTGGCTCTGATGGGCCCAATCTGGCCCTGCCACTGGCCAGAGATTAGACTTGTGGACGGTTAATGCTGCTGACATCAGGGCCTGGCTGGGTGGCCACGGTGGGAATGGGCCCTCCCCATGGGCAACAGCGCAGGCCACGTGATCTAGGCTCATTAAGCTGCTTCAGTGGCCAGAGAAGCTGGGGGCTGGAGCTCAGGGAGAGGAAGGGGAGGGCATGCCAGGGCTGTAGGGCAGGCCTGGGCCAACCAATCACCCACTGGGCAGGGTTAGGTAGGAGGGTTAGCTATTGGTCCCCTCTCTACCTCCTTACTGTGCTCATCCCCAGTGAGCTGCTTTCTAGGCAGCAAAATGAGCAGGCTGTAGTCAGAGCCGTGAATGTGGGTCCCTGGCTCACTTGCAGGGGTGACAGGGAGGGCCATGGTCTCCTAGGAGGTCTTCAAGCTCCCCCGCCACCTCATGACACCAGACAGGCATCCTGGCTCCCACACAGCACCCCCCTTCAGCACTCACCCCACACAGCCTTTTTTTTCTCCACCAGGAGGGCTCCTCCTCTTGCCCACCCTGGCAAGTGTGCCCTCCTCCCCCTGACAAAGCTGCTTCTGCATCTGCTCCCCTCGCTACATGCCTGCTAACTCTTCGGAGAACTTTGGTATCTAGATCAGCCATGGGGAACATTGGGGGCCCCCTGGGAACAGGTAATGGGCTGGTGAGGCAGCTAGGAAGCTGGGTCTCCCTAGAACCTGAAACAGAATTCCTAGAGGCCACCTGCTACGTGGCTGATGAAGGACAAGGAAGTGGGTGAGAGCCCTGAGAGCCAAGAGGGCAGAGGTGCAGCAGCCAGGAGGCGGCAGGAGCATGGGTGTGGCCAACTGTGCTTGAGGGAGGCTGAGAGGCCCACTGGGGGGGAGAGCGGGGCCCATGAAGTATCTTGTCGCTGTGCATCCAGGGCCCCCAGGAACAGCATGCAGCAGAAGCTGCCTAGCTAAACGCTGAGAGTTCAAGGTTGGAGAGAGCAAAGATAAACCAAAGCTGTTAGGACCCTAGAAGAAGGGTTGAGGTGGTGCTAGGACCCTGAATTCACTTTGCTCTGTGTTTGCTATTGATGAGGGTACAGAGGAGGGGGGCCTGGGTTGACATCTGAGGTACAGTGCCCTTCTCCAACTCAGGTGTCTGCCCCCAGTAGGACCACCGCACAGAGGGACTTTCTCCCTGGCCTCTGAAGAAAGACATGGGGCGGCTCTCCCAGCCCCCCAACTGTCAGGTCAGCACCGGCTGGGCTGGGAGATTCCGCAGGTGGCGGGAAAGGCCTCCGAGCCTGTGTTTGCCCTGGCGGGGGCCCAGGCTAAGTAACAACAAACAGTTAGCCCCTCCCCCAGCCTGGCCATACTGACCTGGCCCAGGGACCCCACATTACACTGCTTGGAGCCACTCACAACAGCCCAGCCCAGCCTAGCTGGGCTCTGTTCCCTCCAGGCTGAGTGGGAGACCCCATGTCTCACAGGCTGGGTGACCTTGAGCTAGCCCTAACCCTCCAGGAACCTATGATGGGGGTCCCCAGCCCTTTGCCAACAGCCCCATAAGGGCTTCCAGGCTCTCTGCAGGTACAGAGGAGGGCAGAACTGGCACCCCGGTCAGCAGCTCTCCTGTCAAGATGTGCCAGGATCCATGGCGCTTTGGGAGTGGGGTGGGGACTTAATGGTCCCCCAGGATCAA